CATGGGTAATTATAAACCTATCAGCCTGACATTGATCCTGGGCAAGATAATGGAGTGGCTGATACAGGATTCAATTAATAAAGAATTAGAAGAGGGTAATGTAATTAATGCCAGTTGTCACAGGGCCCCCCAGGCTTTATGAAAAATGGCTTATGAATATGCATAACTTGAAGACACTTTAGGAAAAATACATCATGTGTCATATAATTTTTAAAGTTTTAATCTGCTGAATGTGTACACTCTGTTTCTGTGCATGTATCATTCTTGTATATGATGTTAGAAATATGAATCTGTTTATAAATCTAAGAGTGCTAATCAGGGCTATTAATGATACTCCAGAAACACAGCTTTTTGGCATTCAAACCAACAAGCTATGGAGAGTCTTGTTTTTTCCTGAAAGCCTGGATTATGGTTGGTCCTGCCAGAATGTGTGGCCAGATTACTTGATGCTAGAACCCATTTTGTATCTTGTACTTTTCCACTCGAGGTGAGACGAGTTTGAACTGAACAGAAAGAATTCTTACCTTGCGCAAAGGGGATATAAATATTAGAAATCAAACTATAGGGAGTTATCAGATGGCAGGAGACCCCCACTTACCACCAACAATACCTGCTGGCAATATCTAAGGCTACGTCTATACTGCACCCTTCTTCTGCAAAAGCTTATGCAAATGAAGCACAGAGTAGAATATCGCTGAACTTCATTTGCATAATTAGGTGCTATTTTTGTGCAAGAGGCTTTTGCACAAAAAGGTGCTGTGTAGATGGCTTCTTTTTACACAAAACCCCCCTCTTGCGCAAGAGCTGTTCTTCCTCTTTTTTTCAGGAAGAACAGCTCTTGTGCAAGAGAGGGGTTTTGTGAAAAAATGGCCCCTAATTAATTATGCAAATGAAGTGCGGCGATATTGTACTCCACGCTTCATTTGCATTAGCTTTTGCAGAAGTAGGGTACAGTATAGACGTAGCCCAGGACTGAACAGAGGCCCAAGCTGTGATGTTAGCTATCTTGTGAAAAGAACTACTGTTAGGGTAAGAATTAGCATGTAACAAGTTTCTTAATGCATTAGGTTTAGGTGGCATATTTTGTTTTATTTTTTGCTTAGTAACTTACTTTGATCCATTTGTTATCGCTTGCCATCACTTAAATCCTATTTTTTATATTTAATAAAAACATTGTTGTTTATCATCAAATCCGGTGTAAATAATTGTTACTGGGACAGGAGCAGAGGGGAGAAGAAGCAACCATGATGCATATCTCTCATTGATAAAGAAGGTGAACTTATGAGCTTTCTCTATGTAAAACTTTATACACAGTATGATGGATTTATTTGGGGGTTTGGTTCCATTTAAGGGTTGTGTTCCTAGATGCTATCCAGGTCCTATAGCCTCTGCTGATCATATCACTGAGACTTCCCAGAGCTGAGTTGGTTCAGCATCTGTGTTATTCTGCTGGGGAGATTTTACCCTAATTCTGTGCTTTTACTGAGGGAGACCAGAGCTTCTGGCCCAGTACGACAGAATGGTGGAATGCCATAGAAGAATAGGGAGGCTCAGTGGTATGATTAGCACATCAGGACACAGCCTCTGTGATCCAACCCATCAAACCTATAAATATGGGATTATGTAAAGTAGATCCTGTCAAACTAATTTGAGGGTTTTTAAAATAAGATTACAAGTTTGGTTGAAAAAAAGGAATAGTCCTCAAGTAATAGATTTCCATAGGATGTTTTACGTGGTACTGAATGTCAGTTTGATTTTAAGAAACTAGAGTGACATCAAACTAACACCCAGGTACCCCACATCTACACAAGCCGCCCATTACTTTGAAGTGTTTTCTAAATAATGGGCGCACTATTTCACCATCACAGTAAACCTTGTTGCACGAGGGATAAGGGATGGCTCAAAATAGCATGTTTTTTTGAAATTTGGTGCTGTGTAGAGGCGCCAAATTTCAAAATAAGCTATTTTGAAATAGAATCAAAATAAGATACACAATTTGCACTAAGCAAATTGAGTATCTTACTTCAAGTTTAGGGTGCTGTGTAGACACACCCTTTGAGAATGAGTAAAGGATTAGGAAACATACCTTATAATGATAGATGAGCTGAGTCTAACTTGCCAAAGAGATTGCTAAGGGGTAAATTAGTATCTGAGGAACAAATATTTAATAATGGATTCTGTAAATTACTAAAGGTATAACATGATCCAATGGCTAGAAGTTGAAGCTAGACAAAATGAGACTGGAAATAAAGTGTAAAATTTTTGATAGTGATGGTAAATAACCATTGGAACATTTACCAAGGGTCACGGTGGATTCTCCAACACTGACAATTTTTATATCAAATGTGTGTGTATTGCTAAAAGATTTGCTATAGGAGCTATTTGGGGCCCTGTTACACAGGAAATCAGACATCACAATAATTCCTTTGGGCCTTGGGATCTATAAATGGTTGCTACACCAGCTTTATACTAATAGAGATTCCTTCTACAGAGGGAGAATTCTCTTTGGGACTGTCTTGTGTTCAGGAATTTGCATTGTACAATGAATTTAGCCCATACTTTAGAATCACCAGTTCAAATCATGGAAGGTGTAGGCCAGGGGTGTCCAAACTTTTCTCAAAGAGGGCCAGATTTGATGAAGTGAACATGCGTGAGGGCCAATCATTTTGCCTGACATTCTTTGAACCATTAAAATTAAATGCAAATTAACTATTTTATGCAAAGTTTATTGCAAACGGCATACTTTTCATTTTGTCACATGGATGACAAATCTAAACAGGTGTTAAATCACAGGAAAGGAAAAAAATAAAGACTAGACAGCTTAACTTTGATACCCAGAAAGATACTGGAACACATTTTTGAACAATCAGTTTGTAAGCATCACTGGAGAACAAGATAAATATAAGTTGGTTATTACTGATCAAGAACAAATCATAGCAAACCAATCTAATTTCCTTCTTTGACAGGGTTATAGGCCTAGTGGGTATGGGGGAAGCAATAGACATGATTTATCTTAATTTTAGTCAGATTCCTGAGGTTGCTTGAGAAGGTCATGTGGGACTAGCTACAGAAATGTGGTCTAGATTAAATTACTATAAAATGGGTGAACAGCTGGTTGAAAAACTAGACTCAGGCAGTGGTTATCAATGGTTCACTGTCAAACTGGGAGGATATATCAAGGGTGGGTCTCACAAAACTTTGTTTTGGATCTTGTACCATTCAGTTGTTCTTTAACCACCTGAATGATGGCATACAGAGTACTCATAAAACGTGCAGGTGATACCAAGCTGGGAGAGGTTGTAAGCAATACAGATAACAGGTTTAGAATTCAAATTATCTTGATGATTTTAGACCAACTATTAAATTTAACAAAATTAAATTAAATAAATAAAAATGTAAAGATCTGTTCTTAGGAAGAAAAACAAATACACAAATACAAAATGGGGAATAAATAGTGAGGCAGCAATACTGTAGAAGGAAGCTCTTGGAGTTATACTTGTTTTTCACACTATTGAGACAAGTTGAACATGTCTCAATAGTGTGAAAAAAGGCTAATGTCATTCTGAGATGTCTTAACAAGAGTGTCATATGTACGACATGGGAGGTAACTGTTTCAATCTACTTGGCACCTGTGAGTCCTCAGCTGGAGAACTGCATCCAATTCTGAGTGCTGCACTTTAGGGAAAATACAGACAAAGTCCAGAGGACAGCAACAAAAATTGGTAAAAAGTTTAGAAAACTTGACATAAGGAAAGGTTAAATGGAGCATATATAGCCATGAGAAAAAAAATGATAGAGTGGGGACCAGATGTTCTCAATGTCCCCCCAAAACAGGACAAAAAGTAATCAACTTAGTTTCAATCCAGAGGGGTTTAGGTTGGATATTGGAGAAAACTCTGACCGAAGATATTTAAGCACTAACATAAAGAGTTTTATTTCACTTTATATCACTATAAATTACTAATACCAGAAAAGCAAACTCTACAAACTTGTCTGAGTATCTTATTTGGAGACTTTATTGTTCATTTCAAAGGTGAGTATTACATTTGCTTGCTGACAAGTCAAAACCGTGTTCCTTCCTTGTACATTTAATTACAGTATATTACAAAAAGTGAGAATATTGTATGTCAGTAGAATGTTTATCTAGATAAATATAAAATCTCAAAAATAAGCAAGAAGATTTGAGTGTCTTTTAGCTTAGTGAAATAATCATAATCTTGTAACTGATCTGTCTCACGTAGATAGTAGTTGCTATTTCCAGTTTCCAATACTGGTTGTGACACACCTGGACCTAATATGTAATATTTTTATGGATAATACTATGTAACCATTTTATAAACTTTGTATATGACCTGGGCAATGAGTGGGTACTTACTGAATCTTGGGGATAGTGGAATGATTATTATCTGTATAATAAAATACCAGGCTTGTCACTCTGAAGCCTAGAGTGTCTGAATCAGTGTGGAATGATAGAAATATCTAAAAGTGTGGCATAGTGTTCTTTCTGTTCAGAACATCACCAGGTTCAGGTATCACCCCATGAGACCCAGGTGGAATATTGGATCCATAGCTTCGGTAGTGAGCCAAAGGTTGGAATATTGGAGGTGGGAGTAAGAGCGGTATGGAGTAACAAAGAGGTGGCTGGGGCAGTGTAGCTCTGTGCACAGGCTACAGAAAACAGGTACAAACACCAGCATTTGTCATTATAACTGCTCATGAAAACAAGAACCCCCCCACTTTTGACTTTTCTACACACAATTTTAGATAACGGTCAACAGCGTGGGCTGTCGCTAGTACATACATAATTGAATTCAATGAGGTCTATGTATGAAGATACCATAAGGGCTAACCAGATGACAACACCCAACCATAGATTTCAGGGGCAAGTTATTGGTTTCAAGACTCCTGAGGCTGGTTTCAAATCTAACCAATTCCAAGCCTTATTCTGCCAAAATCTGGAGCTCAAAAAAGCACAGCAAGAATTTAAAAGCTCTTCTTACCTGGAGAAGATGGGTCACTCCTCAGAAAATATCTGGAGGAGGCCAGATTGATACATTGAAAAAGAGAATGTCAGGAAGCAAGGTCTGCCACAATGCTAATCTCCAGGCAAAATAGCAAGTGCAGTAGATTGCCTACTAAATTGGAAGAGTTAGCAGACCAGCAGCAGCTGTTCAGCAGCTGCTCAAAGTATTTGTACATGGCTGCAGTAGTTTCTGTCCCAGCCTTATTTAAGCCCTGTGCCTGCTAACCTCAAATAGAATTTCAGCTCTGGACATGTCAGACCTGCAAAAGTAAATCCATGGTTAATATCCTGAGGCTTGTGAGCTGGGGCTTTACCTAAGAGCAGGGAACTTGCTGGATTCAACTCAGAGACAGGTGACAGTGAGAGATCTGAGACATAGAAGGAAGAATGCTCAGATCTCCCCAGGAGGGGTCAAAGGCATGGTTCACCTGCTAATGTGACAACTGCAAAACTAAAAACTTTGTTAGAGCTATGTTGCCACAAGTAGGGATAGAAAACTCATTCAAATAAAATAATGGCTTCAGGCTTTCCCCAAACCTAACCCTTAAAAAAAATTCTCAAACTTCTTAGTTGGGCCACTACTAAGAGTGTATGTGACAAAATAATATGAGTAGCTGCCCAGATAAAAACAAGTAAAATAAAAATTCTAGCA